TCTCTCTCTAAATTTCTCTCTCTGCTGTCAGTCTCGCTCTCTAAAAAATCCATCTCTCTCTTCTTTCTCTCTCTACAGGCAGACTATGGCCCATCTCTCTCACCCCCTCTCTGTATCTCACTCTCACTGCAGTAATATTCATCTGTCTGTCTCTCAAGTAAAACCCATCTCTCTGTTTCTCTCTCTAACACAATCTCATGCGCCGCTTGCCAAGTTGGTGTGGATTGGTACAACTCATTCAATGTTACATGTTATTCTCAACCATTCTCAGTTCCTTTCCTTTCTCTCTCTACAGGCAGACTATGGCCCATCTCTCTCACCACCTCTCTGTAACTCACTCTCACTGCAGTAATATTCATCTGTCTGTCTCTCAAGTAAAACCCATCTCTCTGTTTCTCTCTCTAACACAATCTCATGCGCCGCTGGCCAAGTTGGTGTGGATTGGTACAACTCATTCAATGTTACATGTTATTCTCAACCATTCTCAGTTCCTTTCCTTTCGATTTCCTACTCAAACGGTTGGACTTTTTCACATGATATCTCATTTTCTTTTTATTTGGTCTCATTTATTCCTATGTTTTCATGGGTTGTGCAGCTTTTACTTTTCCTGTTGAGAAAATCTTAGCTAAAAGTGCCCATTTTTAGCTTTTCTGTTGCCATTATTTACTTCATAGTTTAAATTGCTGCAAGAAGGAACCATGATAATTTATTCATTTTTTTTAACTGGCAGGAAAAGATTAATATCTCTTTTGGTTTTTCATAATCTTTATCTGTGATTTATTTTTATGCCTTTGTAGAGATAATGGGTTTCTTCTTCTCTTGTGTAGTGATTATAAATAGCTCAAGGGGGTTCCCTCTCTCTCATATTTTTCTCTGCCAGAGTTATTTTTCTTGTATTCAGATTATCTAGTTCAAGAGGGCTCATATTCTCTCCTTCTCTCTCTCTTGATTTTAGCTGGTATTGAATAGTTCAAAACTGGGTTGTTTCCTTCCTCTTTCCTAATGGGTTCTCTCTCTGGTTTTTTTTACGAATTGGGGTTCATGGGGGCTCTCCTTGTACATGGGATTTGCTATGCAGACACTGTGCCTGGTTCCTTTGTCTTTGGGGATTCTTTGGTTGATGCAGGAAACAACAATTACATTGTTTCTCTCTCTAAGGCCAATTACCTTCCGAATGGCATCGATTTTGCTCCTTTGCGGCAGCCTACGGGTCGATTTACAAATGGAAGAACAATTCCTGATATCTTAGGCAATATTTCTTACCATTTTCTATTGATCCTTCTTTATTCAATCACTATTGAGTTTAACAATAATTTTTTACAGGGCCCCCATCTATGCTGAATTTGTTGAATGTTGTGTAATATTTGTGGGGTGTGGAGATTTCTTCTATTTCTTGTTTCTGCTTTTCACATTTTCTTGAAAGAGAAAATGTAGGAAAATTTGAAGTGTATGAGCTTAGACTGAGAAGATTTGTTTCTTATTCGATATTGGTCATGCAAAAATTCAACTTGCATATTTGGTGTGATCAGTAAAAATCTGATATATTGAGCCGATGTATTTCATATGATACATTTAGTGTGATTAACAATTCATGGAGCAGGAAATAGTTCCAAATATGAGTTGCTTGGTTTTTCTCACTCTTGGTCTTATGGGTTCTCTCTGTCTTGAAGCAGGCCAACAGTTGGGATTGACTTCATTTGCTCCCCCTTACTTGGCTCCAACGACTAAGGGGCTTGCGACCCTTCAAGGGGTTAATTATGCATCAGGGGCAGGGGGAATTCTTAACAGCACTGGACAACTCTTTGTAAGTATGTTTTCTTTGGTTATTTTCATATCCAAAAGCTACTAAGTTTCAGTCTTTGCTTTCTAGATTAAAACAAACCCATATGAAACCGCTGGATTTGAATTTTAACCTATATAATTCGACCGACTGAAATGCAATAATGGAGATTAACTGCAGATTAGTCCTTCTCTGTTTCCTAGATAATTTAGTTTATCTCTGTAATCTGAGGCCCTACTCAGGTGACCTTAATCTTCTAGGCAGCAATAAAACTTCCCTAGAGTGAGAAGGCAACTCCAGAAATGAAACTCCGCTTATTGGCAAAATGCAGCTAACAATGGGAGGTAAAATCATGGCTGATTACCTACTTTCTTGGGTTGCCATTAACATGAAGGCCCCTAATGGCAGTTAAAGACAGGGCTTTTTTATTGCTACCGTGATATACAAACGGCGGCTTAAATTGTGAATTTCTGGTGCCAAGAATTAAGTTTTTCACTGGGTACATATGACCACTTAATCTTGTAATCATTTGTAGTTGTCTTAAATACTTTTCTATAAGGTAAATTGACACAATGGTAGAGATCTTGTTTTGTGGCTGTTTTCTTTTTGAACAAATTAGTCCATTCCAGAGAGAGAGAGGGAGTCTTGTTCATATTTTCTTCAAATTGATATGTTGATTTTGTGTTGGAACTGTTTGTCTTCAAGGGTGGCCGGATCAACTTAGATGCACAGATTGATAACTATGCAAACACAAGGCAGGACACCATTTCAATCCTTGGAAAAGCAGCTGCCTCAAAGCTTTTTCAGAGGGGTCTCTTCTCTATGACAATGGGATCAAATGACTTTATCAACAACTATCTCGCTCCTGTTGTTTCTGAAGCAGAGTGTAAAGTGTCCCCTGATGCTTTTGTGGAGGACATGATCTCCAAGTACAGGCTTCAATTGACAGTAATGCCTTCAACCAGTTTCCTTCTCTCCGTTTGAAAATCAAAGTGGTCTCTCTCTCCTTATTAAGATTTACGTGTGCTAGTGATTTTCTCATCAAGGTAGCTACTACACAGGAGATTTTCGTTTCCTATGCTTTTCAAAGGAGTCTTGTGAAAAATAAGAAAGACCACGAAAAGAGTGAAATATTTCAGAACCAAGAACACCTAGTTGTTTTAGAATTCATACTTTTATAAACTATTTCTGAAAATTTGCAGGAAACGTCAAGGGGGATGTAATTGTGATAATATGTAAGGGGAATTTGCCACTATATGAAACAAATAATTAACAAGATTAAGATGGACATAAGTAAACATCATGTATTCCTCTCCTCTTTCTGCCAACATGCAAAAAATATTCCGTGTATCCCTTTAGCAGATTGTATGCTATTTTATTATCCTTTGGCTAGACCCTTTTGTGAGACCCAATTTTGTAACCAATTCTGTCCATCTTTCTTTTCTTTGCTTGGTCTCTTGTAACTTTCAGAGGCTGTATAACTTGGATGCGAGAAAGATCGTGGTAGTGAATGTTGGACCGATAGGATGCATTCCTTATCAAAGGGACATCAATCCAACGGCTGGGAATGATTGTGTTGCATTTCCAAACCAATTAGCCATGGCCTTCAATGGGCGCCTAAGAGGTCTCCTCTCAGAGCTGTCTTCGAATCTCAAAGGCTCCAAATTTGTCTATGCAGATGTCTATAGCATTGTCTCTGATATCATAGAAAACTACACAAATTATGGTGGGTACTCTTAAATTTTGATCTTTTTATTTTTTTCTTTTTGGCAGTTGGTTATTTGGATTTCAAGCCCTGGTATTTAGAGTTTCCAAGCAAAAGGATAGGTGAAAATGAAAGAAGATTTTGAGCCTCCAATGTTGAGTTTATTAGAAACTGAATTTGTCCCCTGCATCATTATCATCATCATCATCAGGACCTTCACTTTTTGGGGATCACTTGCATTGTAATTATTTCATGTAGTCTGCAATTTGTATTTCAAAACTAAGAAAGAAAGCTGAAAATTTCAGGGCTTTATATTTGTAATTTGCTTTTAGGATTATTATTAATGAGAT